TGTTCTTTCACTGATGAATCAAAGTTACATAACAATACCACAAAAATGAAGACTCAAGTGAAGGACTGTTTGCTTTGACTCCTTAGGGAACTTCTTAACTCCATTCTGACGCCAAGTGCACCATTTTCTCCATAAATGAGCCATTACATTGGTTTTCAAGAAGCTAATTGTATTTATGAGACCACTTAGAGGACTGTCAGCATTTATGCTTGACGTAAGTTATGGCATTTCTCATATCCAGTTATGCATAACAAAGTCCAAAAAACTCTTGATCAAATAAACATTAAAAAGTAAAATAAATAAACATTTAAAAAGTCCAAGAGGGGATGAGTATTTCAGAAAAGTCCAAGAGTGGCCAAACTGAAAAACATGATGTTTCTCAACATTATTTACTTAAGAAAAATAACTCAACACGATTTCCTAAAAAATAAACCTGCCGCCCGATTTTTGTTCTTCAGATTCAGAATAATGGAGACTCCGGGTCCTGTCAGACGGACATAAAGGGCACAAAAGCGTTACTGTTGTTAAAAACACACAGGAATTCAACCAGTCTTCTCTTTAAAACGGCCTGTCGCGTTAATATTCTCTTGACTGGAGCACCGACCTTTCCTGAGTTCCTACTCTGGATTTTGCAGGCGCTTCTATCCTGAATTAAACGTGCGTAACGGGATAAAAATCATGAAGATTGCGCATATGGATTAATTTATCATTCAAGATGCATAAATGACTATATGTCCAGTATAATCCCATAGACTTAAAACACTGTGATCTTAATTCAGGTTCGGCTGTTTGAAACCAGTGTGAGCCATGTATATCAATGCATGTTGTAAAAGTGCTTCAAATGAAGAATGAATTCACCTTTATGTTCAGAAGTCATTTAAGTTTCCTTTTCTCGTAGAGAAAACAGAAAGTCTGCACTTCTCTCTCCGTAGACACACAGTAGTAAAGTGCCTCTTTGGTTTCTCTTCAGGACTCATTTCCACGGGCAGCTTTTCCTGTGATATCCAAACAAACCTCTTTCTCAGCCGGTTCGTCAATGTTCCCCGTCAGCGCACAGCTTGGCACTCCTGACACATGCCAGTGTCTCGCGCGTATCATAGTTGACTTGCGTGCTTTCGCGCGGCTCGGGTGCGCCGGTGACTTCAGACATCAGTAAGATCTCCATCTGTACTCCAATCCGACGCGGTGTCTGTACAAGTCTGGCAGACGCTGGAAATACATTGAGAGGTGGGGATAAACCCGTGCGTGCACGCTCTGGAGAGAGAACAACAGAAGGGTGGCGAGCACGCACGCATTCACGTGGAGGTGGGCTCTTCTCAAACCGCAGTGTTCGCGTCCGAGCGCGTCACCGAGAGCTGTCAAAACGGGGTGGGTGGGGGTTCCAATCAATGACGTGTAATGCAGGGGGAGACACAGCTGTCATAT